TAAGAGGATTGCTTGGGCCCAACAGTTTGAAGTTGTTGTGAGCTATGATGCCACAGCACTCTACCAAGGGTTACAAAGTGAGACTCTGTGTCAAAAAAAAAAAAAAAAAAGAAAAGAAAAAAAGAAGTCATTGAAGGTACACTAACTCTTCCAAATAGTAAAATGTGAGTATACTGTAGTGCTACAATAATTAAAATAGTTTGGTATTGGCAATAGAAGATAGCTCAGCCATAGACCCATACCTATACATACACACACACACAGCAGAACCTCTGTAAGTTAACTATGCAAAGGAAGGTAACAGGCCAATACATAAAGGTGGTCAACATAAGAAACGTGGCCTACCATACTGATATGTACATGTGGTGCATGTCTGGTCTATAAAAATTAGGCCAACTTAAGGAGGCGGTCAACTACAAAGTTCTACTGTGTATGGAAATTTAACAAAGAAGGCACTTCAAATCTGTGTGTGAAAAGAGGCTTACTTGATAAATGGTGTTGGGTTAACTGGATTTGCTTAAAAGAAAAACAAAGCTGGTTCATTCACTCACTAAAAACCAGAACAAATTTCAGAAAGATCTGAGATGTAAATTTAAAAAAAAAAAAATCAAGTACTCCAAAATAAATTTGTTTTGTTTTTTAAATAACTTTGGGATGGAGGAAGACCTTCTAAACAATAAACTAAAGCCCAAAATCTATGAAGAAATAGAATTAAAAATCAGATGAATTTTGAGACAGATTCTCACTTTGTCACCCTCGGTAGAGTGCTGTGGTGTCACAGCTCACAGCAACCTCAAACTTTGAGGCTCAAGTGATCTTCTTGTCTCAGTCTCCCAAGTAGCCAGGACTACAAGTGCCCATCACAATGCCAGGCTATTTTTAGAGACCAGGTCTTGCTCTTGCTCAGGCTGATCTTGAACTCCTGAGCTCAAGTAATCCACCTGCCATGACCTCCCAAAGTGCTAGGATTACAGGCGTAAGCTACCATGCCCAGCCTAAACTTTTTTAAAAAATCCTTTATGGGAAAATAAAAACAAAGTCAAAGTCAAGTACTTCTATTGTGTTTCTACTCTGCTTTAATGTACTAAGCATTTCTAGCTCCCTCACCCTCAAAACAGAGTGCTGCACTTGTCTGTCTCCTTCCTTCATGTTTAATTTCTTAAAATACATCCACAAAGGTATACAGATAAAATAGAACATTACTAATACTTTTGAAACCTTATGGGTACTATAATAGTATTTTTTTTTTTTTGAGACAGAATCTCAAGCTGTCGACCTGGGTAGAGTGCTGTGGCATCACAGCTCACAGCAACCTCTAACTCCTGGGCTCAAGCGAGTCTCCTGCCTCCATCTTCCAAGTAGCTGAGACCACAGGCTCCCAGCACAATGCCCAGCTATATTTTTTGGTTGCTGCCGTCATTGTTGTTTGGCTGGCCAGGGCTAGATTCTAAACTGCCAGCTTAGGTGTATGCGGCTGGCACCTTAGCCCCTTGAGCCACAGGTGCTGAGCCTTTAATGGTATGTTTTGTGTGTCAACTGGACTACAGGATGCCCAGGTATTCTGGTTTTTGTAGTGAGTGAATGAATGAATGAATGAGCTTAAACAGGTAGCTGGTTAAACATTATTTCTAGATGTGAGAGTTTATTTCTGGAAGAAGTTAACATTTGAATTGATAGTCTGAGTAAAGCAGTTGCTGCTTCTCCACCTGCACTGCTCCCCATGTGGGTGGGTATTATCCAATCCTTTGAGGTCTGGATACAACAAAAAGGGGGGAGGGTAAGTTGAATTCACTGTCTGCCTAACTGCATGAGCTGGGACATCCATCTTTTCCTGCCCTTAGCCTCTGACAGCATCTACATCATCATCTCTTCAGCTCTCAAGCCTTCTCTCTCATTGACTTTCTTGGGTCTCCAACCTGCAGATGGCAGACTGGGACTTCTCAGTCTCCATAATTGTGGGAGCCAAAACATAAATATCTACCTATCGACCTCCTATTGGTTTTGTTTCTCTGGAGAACTCTAATACAGGTATCCCAACAACCCAGGCTGCATCCCTTCCATCTCACTCAGAACTAACCAGTCTCTATTTTGCATGTATCATTTTTTGCTTTTTCTTAGTTTTGCCATTCTATTTATATGTGCCTAACAATATACTCTTTAGCTTAGCCTATCTTTTTTAATGTTTATATAAATGGCAGTACACTATATACATTCTCCTATGATTTACTTTCCCTCCCTCATTATGATTTAAGATTTATCCAAGTTGATGCAGTTTTTGTTTTCAGAACTGTATAGTGTTTTACTGTACAAATTTATCCCAATTGTTTACTCATTGTAGTATTGACAGACATTGGAATGTTTTTAGCCTTCAGTTATAGTGAACAATAAAACCACAAACATTCTTATTTGGGTCTTCTGGTGCACATAGATTAGTTTCTCTGGAGAATATTCCTGGGAGTGTAATTGCTGGGTAGGAGGGTAAACACATGACCCATTTTTCTAGGTAAGGCTGTATTTCCCAAAATGATTCTATCAATTTATGCTCCCATATTCTTTCCAGGATCTGACTTGCCAGACTTTCAAAATTTTACCAATCAAGTGTCTATAAACATACATTTCATTATATTAATAATTTTAATTTGCATCTCAATTTCAAATGAGTTGAGGTTTTTCATTTTTTTTTCCTCCCCGCAGCCCATCTGTAACTTCTAGAAAATTCTTACACCTCATCCCTGTTCTTGGGCTGGTCCTAAAACTAGATGAAAGAAGCACCTACCTACATTTCACGATACATTATCTCAACATTTTCCAAGTATCTTTCTTATCAGTCAGCTAATGTCATAGTGGCCTAGTTTTCTCTTTTCCATTAGAATCTTGTAACAGTTTAACTAGTCACAGACATGGTACAGAGTACTTGTGATGTGTTCAATAATAAAAAGCCAGAAGGATGAGCTGGAAGATGTGAGATGGGAACAGACTATCTCTTGGTGGTTTGAGACTAGCAGGAAACAGACTAAGAAGACAGATAACAATAAAGACAGCCACTCTATTTCCAAGAACTATGACATGCATGGTAAGAATCATACTGGTTACTTATGACTATTATGTCTAATCCTTACAATGATTCTCTAAGGTGTATATTATTATACCTGTTTTATAGATAAGGATACTCAAATTCAGAAACCACAGGACACTTTGGCATCCTCAGAGCAGAGAAGGTCAGGTCAGCATGCAATAATTCAAGGAGTCCTTTATTCATTAACCAAACACTAAGGAAATTTAGACTGGAAAACTGTATTTGGCATTTGGGGATGTTTGCCACTTACAGGGTGTTGCTGATCTGTTAGGTAGTTACTGGAAAGGGACTGACTGCAGCTATGGAGGGAAGCAAACACTGAATAGTCAAAAACTGCTGGATTATGAGGGCAGCCTAAATCTGGCCCACCTTCGGTTTCCTCATGGGAAAGGCCTTGGAAGAAGCCCTAGCTTACTGTATAATACAAAGGATGAGGACAAAGCTCTCTATAGAATTGCCAGTTTGTGCCTTAGTTTCATCATCTGTAAAACCAGGATAATAATACTCACCTTGGTATTTTAGTGACCCTTGGATGCTAAAATCAATTACAACAAATTCATTGATTTAAAAGCTAAAAATGTATTTTCTCACAGTTCTGGAGGCCAGAAATTGAAAATCAGTTTCAATGGGACAAAATCAAAGTGCATAATTGGGCTGCTCCATAGTGGAGAGAATCTCCTCTCCATAGGGGAGAATCTATCCTTGTTTCTTCTAGTTTCTGGTGGTTGCTGGCATCCTTCGTTTGTGGCTCCCACACTCCACAATCTCTGCCTCCTAGGTATACTGCATGTGACTTCATTTAGGTCCCATCTTTATAGTCCCAGGATAAACTCTCCGTCTCAAAATCCTTAACTTGATGTACGAAGACTGTTTCTACATAAGGTAAGATTTATATGTGCAGGGATTAGGGCCTGATTTGGGGGGCGGGAGCATTACTCAGATTTGTTTTAAGGAGGAAATCTAATGTTGGCAGAGGACTGAGAACTGAATCTCACAGTAGAGAGGACTGAATAGCCATTTTCTTTTCCAAATAAAAGACCTCTAACAATGCCTTCCTTACAGGACTGCTGAAAGACTCAAACAAAGCACAGGCATATCACTTAGAAGATTACAAGAGAAAGTAAAGAATGAAGTAAAAAGGTTGGCCCGTTAGCTCAAGCCTGTAATCCTAGCACTCTGGGAGGCCTCGGCGGGAGATCCTGGGAGCTCAGGAGTTCCAGCAAGAGGGAAACCCGTTTCTACTAAGAAATATATAAATTGGCAGGACACTGTTGCAAGCGCCTTTAGTCCCAGCAACTCAGGAAGCTGAGGCAGGAGAATCGCTCGAACTCAGGAATTTGAAGTTGCTGTGAGTTAGGCTGACGCCACGGCACTCGAGCCTGGGCAACAGAGTGAGGTTCTTTCTAAAAAAAGAAAAAAAATAACAACACACACACAAAACTAGTAAGTAAAAATTGAGGTTAACACTCCCACCACCGCCACACCCCACGCGCCCACACACATATTCCCGCCACCTCCAGGCAGGAATTCTCCACCTGGGAAACCCACACACATTCTCGCCACCTCCAGGCAGGAATTCGCCCCCTGGAACAGCCGCCCTGTTCCTGTACCTGCTCCTCTCTCGTCCCACCCACCTACTTTGGTGTAGTCTTTCTTTACTGCAGTAGAGGCATCGGGGACGTCAGAGTCAGTCTATTCTACTGCCTGTCAGGTCCTCGCCAATTCTGTCCAATTATATCTCTTATTCAAGCTCATCAGCTATTAGTTTAATACATGTATATTTAATGAGCTGGTAGTACCAATATGCTTGTTTTAATTTGAAAAACTAGCGCAGAACTGTTGGATGGAGACTGGCAGTATTCAAGACAGCCCACAAAAGGGCTGGGTCCTTCACACTCAGGTCTCTGCACCCGGGGCTTGTACACCGCGCAGGCGTAGTGGGTCCGACTCGCCATGCCGACTGTCAGTGTGAAGCGCGATCTGCTCTTCCAAGCCCTGGGCCGGACCTACAGTGAGTGCCAGCCTTATAATTTGGGACCTACGCCTCTTCTTGGAAGTTGGGACTCCCTTCCACGGGCCATCGTGACAATTTTCTTGCTGCTCTGCAGGTTTTGGCCTCGGCCGGTGGGGGTTTGCACGGGGAGGGCTGGCGAATGCACTTTCCCGGCTCCAGTGTCATTCATTCAGAGAACTGACAGCCAGTGCCTATTACGTGCCTGCCCCCACATCCGTGCCAGTGGATAGAATAGAAAGAAACCCCAGGTTTCATTCCGACTGTCGCTTGTTCAGTGCTGTAAAAAGAGCGGTGCGGAAGCTCAGTTTGTGAGGAGGTGGGAGCAGGAATTTGGAAAGGGGGAGGAGAAGGTATTCCATCTGCCTCGGTTTTACTTTAGTAATGTTAATGACCACCTGTTACGTACGTGTCAGGCACTATTCTAAGAACTTGGAACTACACAGAAGGTTCATTACACATAAGATCCACGTCTTCATTTGATGAAGGAAGTCAACAATGACTAACCAGCACATTAGTAAAGTTCTTTCTGGTAATGTTAAATGCTGCTAAGGAAAGAAAAGGTGTTGTGCTAAGAACCACATCAGATGAGGTGATCTGAGACCTACATGACGAGGAGTCTTTATTCTGTGGGCTTACTCTTCGTGCTAACTTCATCTCTCATTCCATTCTAAAAACACGACCATTAGGAAAAAGGGGAGAATGTTAAGAAATGTTATCAGGCTCGGCGCCTGTGGCTCAGTTCCTCTACAGGACTACTTATGGCGTGTTTGTTTATTTGCCTTAGAGCAAGAAGTCCAAGAGAACAGGTAATAAGAGAGTGCTCAAAATAGAAGCCTCAGTCTTTAGTAACAACTCAGAAGTGATTTACTAGCCCTTTGCATATTCTCTTGGTCAGAAACCAATTCTAATACAGTGTGGAAAGGAACAGTACAAGGTAATGAGTACCAGGAGGTGAATATTATTTTATTTTTTTAATTTACATCTTTTCTTTCATTTTTTTTTTTTGAGACAGAGTCTCAGTGTGTTGCCCTTCCGTAGAGTACTGTGGTGTCACAGCTCACAGCAACCTCCAATTCTTGGGCTTAAGTGATTCTCTTGCCTCAGCCTTCCAAGTAGCTGGGACTACAGGTGTCCACCTGTAGTCTATTGTTGCACTTGTCACTGTTGTTTAGCTGTCCCAGGCCAGACTCAACACTCCAGCCTTGGTGCCTGTGGCTGGCGCTATAACCACTGTGCTATAGGCACTGAGCTGGAGGAGGATATTATTAAAGACCATCTTGGAGGCTAACTTCTGGCCCCCAGTGAGAGTTTGCCTCTCATGCAACATATACTCACCCCCTGCCAATGCCCTTAGAAGTGTCATTCCATTACAGCAGCAGCTCAAAATCCAGAATCTCATTATCTATATCAGGTCCAGATGTGGCTAAGGCTCCCCTTAGGTATTGTTCCTTAGCTCCCCAAGTGCAGTTAACTCTTGGTCTGAGAGATTCAAGAGACAAGTTATCTACCCCATATACACCTAATATACAATAGTGGGTCAGACATAGGATAACCACTATAGACATTCCTGTTTGAAAGGAAGGGAAATGGGAGACACAAAGGAGTCATCCATCCGTGGCAATTCTGAAATTGAATGGCAAATGTTGGATGTCCTTGGTTAGTTTTGAAGGCTTGAGATAATTCTCCCTGGCTCTCTCTGCCCTGCCCTCTCGGCTCTTGGTTCTATCTTCTGAGATCCCTAGAAAGCATGTGCTTTATACGTGATTCATTTTCTCAGTCGTCTTCTGCTAATAGAATTTTGAGGGTTCAAAGACTTCATTTTGTCCTGTTTCTGTCCCTTTCAGTTTAAGCTGGCAATGATTCTGCATATGTATTTCTAAGAACTTTGTGGATTCTTAGGTGGATCTTACTGGCTTCCATTTCATTTGTTAAAAACCACACCACCCACAAATCTCTGAAATAAGCTGTTCTGTACTTTGGGTTTCTGCTGATAGAATGCTCTTAATTAAGCTCCAGTGTGTGATTAGTTGGATTTTTGTGAGGCACAACCTTTATATTTCTTGTTTAGAGACAGGGTCTCTATTGCTCACACTGGAGTGCAGGGGCACCATCATAGTTTACTGCAGCCTTGAACTCCTGGTCTCAACCAATCCTTCTGCCTCAACCTCTCAAGTAGGTAACACTGCTAGCTATTTTTTTTTTTTCTGCTTTTTGAAGAGATGGGGTCTGACTATGTTGCCCAAGGTGGTCCTGAATTCATGGTTTCAAACAGTCCTTCTACCTCAGCCTCCCAGAGTGCTGGGATTGTAGGTCTGAGCCACCACACCCATCCCCCTTTATATTTCTTTGTAGCACCGTTTGTTTGAATGAATAGTACCTTTGATCTTTCTGAGTCTTGCGACTTTACAGGTGATTCCCTTGATTTTATCGTGTTTTCCTTATAATGCCTTGGATTCAAGTTTTGCTCAGAAGTTATTTCTTAATTTTAGCATTGTTTTATGTTTAGAGAAGCTGAGAATTTTTAAAATCATCAGAATCCTGGCTCCTTTTCGTTAACAGCCCTTCTTTTAGTTTATCTTTTCTGTCACATAAACTGCAAGAAAAAACCAGGTGGCACTTTGTTGAACCCTGGTTAGAAATCCTGATTTCAGTTGATTAGACATATTTTGTACAGTCCACGTCACTGCAGGCAGTAGCGTTGCTGAACTTGCCCTGTATAACAAGGATTCCCTTCCCGTTTCCAATAACATTACCTCACTTTCTACCGTGTCCTCACCTGCATCTTTTTTAAAGACTACAACGCTTCTATCAACAGCTTTTTTACACCCCTTTAGGTTTTCATTTAGACTTCTCAAAGCCTGCCTGGTTCCAGCCACTTCTGCGTCTTTGGTTTTTGTTATGGTAGCCCTCCACGCCCGGGGCCTGACGTCTGCGTTAGTCATCAACTGCTGCATAACAACTTGCCCCAATACTTAGGAGTATAAATCAGGGAGCCGCTTAGCTGCATGGCTCTGGGTCTGGGTCTGTCACCACTTTGGGGTAAGTTTATTCTGGAGTTGCTGTCATTTCAGGGGTTTGCTGGGCTGGAGAATCTGCCTCCAGGCTCATTCGAATGTTTGCCTCAGACTTCAGTTCACCCAAGGGCATGAATATTAGGAGACCCAGAACACTGGGAGCTGTCTTGGAGGCTGGGTAACTTATTGTCTTATCCACTTACCCCAAACCAGAGAGAGATCTGGGGGTCATCCTAGACACCTGCCAACTCACTGTTCCTACATCTTAAGCTATCGAGCCTTATAGATTCTGCCTCGTGACAGTTCTTATTTAAGTTCCTTCTTCCTCATACTCACTGCAGCTGCTTTAAATAAGGCCCTGACCACATCTCATCTGTACAATTGCAGTAGACTCCTCGTTTCACTTTATTCTCCACCTTACCACCAGTCTTTCAGATGTAGATCCAATTGTGCTTTTGTCCAACTGAGAAGTCCTGCAGTGTTACTCTGTTACCTGTTGGTAGGACAGAGGACAAATCCCTTGGCACATCATGACTTAGCCTCTTGCTGCTCGTTCCATCACCTCTCTTCTTGACAAGCACTTACGCTTCATCTACGTGGAACTTGCCGTGCTATTACTTCACTCCCCATGCTCATCCTTTCTGTGAAGCTTTAGCTGACCTAAGTGGAGTTGTTAACTCCCTTTGTGCCATCTCTGTTCCTTGTACTTAACTTCATTACATGTCTGATTGGTTTCTTTACCAGAGGAGGAAGTAATGGAGGCAAGGACTGTGTTTTTATCTTTGTAGCCCTGGCACCTTTTACAGTGTCTGCCATAAAATGGATGCTCAGTAAGTGTTTGTTGAATTGAATTGAAGTTCAGTATCTGGATAAGAAATCTTAAGACTTACTTTCACTAGAATATCCTGGTAATGATGGTTTGTGTTTAATTTTTGATAATATAAAAACCCTGAAAATGGGGTGGCACCCATAGCTCAGTGCGTAGGGTGCTGGCCACATACACCAGGCTGGCAGGTTCAAACCTGGCCTGGGTCAGCTAAACAACAGTGACAACTGCAACAACAAAAGAAGTAGCCAGGTGTTGTGGCGGGTGCCTGTAGTCTCAGTTACTTGGGAGGCTGAGGCAAGAGAATTGCTTAAGCCCAAGAGTTGGAGGTTGCTGTGAGCTGTGACACCACAGCACTCTACTGAGGGCGACATAGTGAGACTCTGTCTCAAAAACAAAACAAAACAAACAAACAAACAAAACTCTGAAGTTGCCATGTCCCATAGCAAAGCAAAGTGGAATGTAATTTTAAAATAAGAAATAACTATTAATTTTTGCAGACCTACGATGTTTCGAGATACTATGCCAAGTCCATTTTCTTCATGATCTCATGTAAATCTTTCCAACGATTCTATGCCACAAATGGCTGTAAAATGCCATTTTACGAGTGAGGCATCCATACAGTTTACATAAGGTGGCAAGAAAGTTTACATAAGTTGTCAAGCTCTCAGAACTCATAAATGGGATAGAATTAAGACTCTGGTTGGCTTGGCTCCAAAAGTAAGTGTCAGGCCACCTCAGAGAATTTTAAATGATAGAATTTATATGACTTTCCATCGTCTTGGATCTGTGATTTGAAGCCTAGTTTATATTTGATCCCTACTTAACAGGTTTCCTTTCCACGGAGAGGTGAACTTTCCAGTGGTGGTAACCTAATTCTGTAGTTGATACCACTGTAGAGTTATCAGCCCTTTAATAGTTTTATTCTTTTTTTACCTTTAAAAATTGTTTTGGCCAGGCTTTTTTGTCTGTTTTTAAATGATGGCGTCTGGTGCCTGATAGTTAAGTTTGCTTGATGTAAGGCAATAAGAAGATAATGCAGTTTTATACAGTTTTCATTTATGTGGAACAGATTAAAATTAACAATCTTTCTTTTTTTTTTCCTAGCTGACGAAGAATTTGATGAACTATGCTTTGAATTTGGTTTGGAACTTGATGAAATTGTATGTATTTGAATATTTATTTCTGATATTCTATGTAGAAGCTCGTTTTTCAGAGGTTTACAATATTTTATTTTAGTTACTTTATGGTTAGACTAAGATGATACATTTGTGGGCTCTGATGGTTTCTGTGTTCAGGGGGCTGAGCTCCAGTTCTCTAAATATTTGTGGCTTTGATTAAGATCTCCATGCCTATTTAACGAGTGTGAATTACTTATTATATACTGTGATCTTGTGAAGTGATCTCATATTTTTGAGGAATTGCATGTGAAACAGTTTCCTTGGCTTTTGATTGTATAATGATCAAACTATTTAAGAAATAGCAAGGCTTGGCACCTGTGGCTCAAGCGGCTAAGGCGCCAGCCACATACACCTAACGTGGTGAGTTCGAATCCAGCCCAGGCCACCAAACAACAATGATGGCTGCAACCAAAAAATAGCCAGGCATTGTGGCGGGCGCCTGTGGTCCCA